TAGGGGTTTCAGTGCTGGACTGGGACCTGGGAGATGTGGGTTTTAGTTCACGCTCAGCCATGATGCTCCATGGGGGACTATGGGCCGGTCATTGCCTCTCACCCCAGCCTACCTCACAGGGTTGTGAGGTGGGTAAGATGGAGAAGAGGCAAAGAGACCTCTTGGGGTCTGTGCTTGAAAAGGGCATAACAATATCTCTGTAGGACAATGTCAGACTGGTTTAATAATCCATATTGGTTTAAGACACAGGCCTGGGTGTGTGTGGAAAAATGTACAGGAAAAAATCTGTACATCTTCCAGCATCCCCTAGCCAGCCATGTTTCTTTCCATTTCTGAATGCTCCCTTGCCCGTGAGTCAGGACAACCAAACGGGGGTGCTTGCTTCTGAGTAAACATGTGTGGGATTACACGGTAAGTCTCTGAAGACGTGGTTGGGCACATCTGATCGAATGCACGTGTGCATCAAACATGCGTGGGAATGCGCTGCAGAGCATGCCGCTCTCCATTCTGTGGCAGTGTGTTTCAAAAGGGCAGTAGCCGGTTTAGGGAAATTACATTCTTCTCCTTTGTCTTGAACCAAAACAGCAAACACTCTCCTTCCTTTTAAAGAGTACAGGGCAGACATTGCGCAAAAAGACCACTTAGGAATTACCAAAGAAGAAAAGAGAGGTCGTCCCTTCGCATAACAATAGAATACACTAATTTATGTGGGGAGAAAGTGATTAAGAAATAATCACTAAATAAAGTGATTATTTACCGGGGAAGACTGAGGCCAGGAGACCTGCGTGTTTGATCTGCAGTCCAGGTTTCCTGCTGCACTTATTTATCAGGGTTTTTAAAGCCTGCCTTGGGCTCGGTGGCCCTTCAAACAGAGGGGACCTGCATCTAGAGGGGTGTCCTCGTCCAACCCTTCCAAAAGAGGACTGTTCTCTGTAAAGTGGGATACAGGGCCACTCGAATAAAAGAGGCAGGAGGAAGAGAGGAAATGGAAATAAACCGATGTATCAGTTCCTTGGATAAAATTGCTTCCTGCCGCATCAGTTGGTTGGTCCATCTTGAAGTCCAGTCCCTCTGTGCATCCTTGGACTGTTTCAGAGCATTTCTGTCCGTCCCCTTGGAACGGAAGAGACCTAGAACAGAATCCAACAGAAATCGACCATGGGCTTGGTTTCTTCGTAAGGTGATCATGTATCCTTTTTTTTCAAGGGACTCCTCCAGTTTGAAGGGCTGCCCTTTCCAAACCCAATTTAAAGATAAAAAAATTCTAAGAAGGGAAAGCACCCGGGGCCTTGAATTTGGCCAGCTATAATTAGCAGAAAAGAGCAGTGACAGAAGTCACCTAGTTGTAATTTTCCCTGCTATCGTGAGATATTGCTATAATAGCAATTATTTCTAGTTTTTCATTTCTCTATAATGGGATACAGAGGAAGAGTTATTCAAGTCACTGTTTTCTGCGGTTCTTTTTTCGGCAATGCATTGCCTTTTTGTGATGCCGAAGTGGTCGTTCTATATTCTAGGGCAAGGATATACATGTGCCATGTGCTTTTCCCCTGTTAAGGTGGCTACAATTTAAAAAGCACACGGTAGAAAGTGCAGAGAAGACAAGCAAGTATTTCTTTCCCTCCTCTCTCCCTCTTGGCACAACTGGATTCCAAAACTTAAACCATGCTGAAATCAGTGTGGAGTCACCTTCACTTCCAAAGCCCCCTCAAAGAAACCTGATCCGGAATGGTTATTTTGTGAAGATGCTAAGAATGCTCTGCTGGAAATCTTTTGCTCTGTCAGGGAGCTGCAGTTCTCAGCATACCTTGGCCGAGGGCCATGGCAGATAAATTTGAAACTGGTCTGTATTTGTAGGAGAGACTTTTTGCCCCCTCCTCCCCCCGCCTGCCCCCCAATCGGTAGACATACACGCAAAGAGAGATTCAGGTATGACTGCATTCTGGGAATTGTGTTGGGGTTTGTATGCTAAGGTTTCAGCTAGGAAAGGAAGTTTTCTTTGGATAGATCGCCTAGGAAATCTCTTAGCTTTCCTCTACATTTTTCATGGCTGACTTCAGGGGCTATATAAACAACTTAAGGAGACTGAACGAAGAGGTAAGTAAAACACAAAGAAAAAAATCCAGAGATGAGAAAGCTTCTCCATCGTCAAGATACCCACAGGTAATTACAAGAAGGGTTTGATTTCTGAGGTTCCGCTTGCTGATATTGGCAATCTGTTCAGAAAAGAAAGGTCTGGAAAACCATCTGGGTTTTATAATGAAAAGCCCATGCAACAAAGTTGTCACTCACGGGTTTTGCTTTTCCAGCTTCGTAGATGAGCCTGAAAGGATTTCTGGGTATGTTTTAAGCAGCTCTGCCAGAACAGGAAAATCTTTCCTGGGTCAACTTAGTCAGAACTTCATCCATGGTGAGCTCTCCTGGGGTAAAGTTAACCTTAGAAGTTGCTCATCATGATGGTGCCCACATGATCTTCCAACTTTGAGGATATCGAAAGGACCCCCTCTGCCCATATGCTCTTCCTGCTCTGCCTGGCATCCCACCTCAGTCTGAAGTATTGTGGGTAAACTTAAGGATACAGAGCCTTTTTAGTGGAGGCACCACTGCAGCTCTCTTCCAAAGGAGTTCATGTAGCCATGGGATCCTTGGAATCCGGAATTCAGAGAGTAAAATGCAGCAACAGTGAAGAGAGAATGGAGGGAGGCTTGGCAGGTAAAACAGATCAAAATCACTTCAATCTGGCAAATGAAAACCTTCCCACGTGTTCTTCTCTCAAGCATTGGGCTCAGTGTTGTATGCCCACGCTGCTGTATTATTTATTTATTTGTGTAAAACATTTCTATGCCGCCCCCATCACAACAAAGCCTCGGGGCGGCTCACAACAAAAACAAACACATATAAAAATTATACAATAAAAATATTAAAACCCGGTGCATCTCGGCTTAAAATTTTTTTTGGTTAAAAAAACCTACATAATGAATGAACAATTAAAATAAGTTTTAAATAAAAAGGTCTTAGCCTGGCACCGAAAAACAAATAACGACGGCGCCAGGCGGACGTCTCTGGGGAGCGCATTCCATAGCTGGGGCTGCAGAGAAAGCCCTCCTCCGGGTACTCACCCTCCTAATATCATTCAAAATTCTCTGTCATCTTTAAACTTTCTTTGGAAAAAGTGGTTCATTAATGCATAGCTCGAGTCTCCAGCAATGAACACCTTTCTTGGTGCCTACTAGATTCCTGAACTCTTCTGGTATTTATTTTGTTTTGCAAGATTAAGAAATCTGGAAGGCTGGAAAGCACCATCCAGCACCATCTTTATGTGGGTTCTCTTGAGCTTATGCTGTGAGTCAGCTTGGCCATGGTGAGAAAGTGGCACTGCATTGAACAAATGTAAGCAGAATCCAAAGTGTTGGCATTACCTGTGAATGGCCAGTGCCTGGGATACTAGGGGGATGGCTTCCTGCTGGACCATCATGGCGGCCCCAGAAGCTGAACCGGAGAGGACTTTATTTGAGTGCCATAAGTGAGTTCTGCCAGGCTGAGCGAGAGAGCCTTTAGGAGGCCGTGAATACTTTTCCTGTGTAACATCGGTTTGGCTAGTGTCACCCCACCCAGAATAGCAGTGGTGACCCCTCCCCGCGTCAAAATGCACAATACCCCAAAGCTGCCCAACTGGTTACAGCAGCCGAGATGAGAAAAACCCCACAAGTGGTACCTCTTCCCTTCACGGGCTGTCAGCCCAGCCTACCTCAAAGGGTTGGTGTTGTGGGGCTAAGACTGAAAGGAGGAGAATTATGTAAGTCATTTTGAGCTCTTTGTAGGAAAAAAGGTGGGATATAAATCAAATAAATAAATAAATAAATAAATAAATAAATAAATAAATAAATAAATAAATAAATAAATAAATAAATAAATAAATGGTTTGCCTCCATTGCAAAATGTTCCCAAATCAGCTAGCAGACCCTGGATATCAAGTCCCCCTCCCAGTTGCTGACCAACTTAGGTGGTTGCATTTGGTTCCTTAGGAATAGAGAAAGGTGAGACACCTTTCTAAACCTGTGTCGGATCGTGGCCTTAATTTCTTTTGTGTTTTCGGGTGCGTGGCAGCTGATACATGATGGGTAAGAAAATAAATGAGAGGGCAAGAATGGCCTTCAGGGTAGCTAGGAGGGCCTTTGGGTTCGGGAATGGTGTGCTGGGTTGGTTTCTGAGCCACGCAAGGAGCTTAGCAAGAGGCCCAGCGGAACGAGCGTGTGGGCGCAGAGGCTGGCACATGCGACTGGAGCTGTGCACGCGCCAAAGAATAAAAATGCCACTACAGGACAGAGGAGGCTGCGGTGGGAAGTGGCCAGGACTTAGGCGTGGGACGTAGAGGCCAAGCACTTAGAAGCAGCGCAGGCAAGCTGTCTAAAGAGAAAACAGCCTTCCCAGATCATTGGCTGGGACGAGGGGTGTGGTGTAGTGGTTAAGAGCATGGGACTGGGACTCAGACAACCTGGGCTCTAGTCCCCGCTCGGCCATGGAGCCAACTGGGTGAGTTTGGGCCAGTCACAGACTCTCAGCCCAACCTACCTCACAGGGTTGTTGTTGTGGGGAGAAGATGGAGGAGGAGATGTAAGCTGCCTTGAGCCCTTTGTAGGAAAAAGGCAGGATATAAATCCAAAAATAAATAAATAAATAAATAAAATGTCTGGGGGCCATCAGCTGGGGAAGGCTGAGAGGTGAGGTTTGCACGGGGTCCCTCTTCGCCCCCGTCAGTGGCCAGCCACGGGATCTGGTGGGGTTCTGCTGCTTGAGCTGAACACTGGCTGTGAAGGGAGAGAGAACTGCTCCTCTAAACTGCTAACTTTGGGAAGGCTGGCCTAAGCTGTGCACACAGGAAGGACACGCTCCATTTGAACATGCACTAATAGCCTTCCCGAAAAATCGACCCCCCCCCCCCCCCGTTGCATTCACCGCTGCTTTTCCTTGGATTGAGGTGCTTTCTCTTCTCTTGCCAGGCGTGGCCGTTTGTCCTCCGTGTGACAATGAGATGAAGTCGGATGCTATCCTGGAGCATCTCTGTGCCAGTGAGTTTGGTAAGGAAACTTCTCTCTTACTGGGAAATGGACGTGGGAAGTGAAGGATGTGGTTCAGATTGGCAACTGGTTCCAGAACTGGGCGGTTAAGCAAAAATGCACCATGATGAGCTCCAGACTGGGAGAACGGGCATTAACATGACAAAAGTGTAAGCGAGTGTAAAGGGATACACACTGGAGGAAAAATCCCAGCTCGAGGTGTAAATTGAAGGGTTTTCAGCTAGCAGACCAAGAAAGAGATCTTGGGGCTGATGAACATGTCAACTTAAAGTGCAGCTACTGTGAGAAAAATGAACACAGATTGGGCATAATTAGGAAAGGATCTGAAAGTGAAATGGCCCGGATTATACTGCCTGTATATAAATGAGTGGTGTAACCACAGTTAGAGTCGTGTGTGTAGTTCTGATCTCCAGTCCAAAAAGGGTTATCACGGAACTGGAAAATGTGTAGAAAAGGTGAACTAAAACGGTCAAGGAGCTGGAGAAACTGGAAGCAAGGAAAGTCTACAACATCTGGGATTGCTTAGCTTAGGAAAATGGCAAGTAAGGGTAGAAGTATGTATGCTGTGGAGAAAATGAAAATGCAGCTGTTCTTCTCCCTTTCTCATAATACTAGAACCCGTGAAGCTGAATGGTGTGAGGTTCAAGATGGATGAAAGGAGAGATTCCTTCACATACCACATAGCTAGACTATGGAACTCACGCCCACAAGATTTAGTAATGGCCACTCATTTGGATGGCTTTAAAAGGGGATTGGACAAATTCATGGAGGAGAAGGCGACCCATGGCTACTAGTCCTCATGGTTAGGAGTAAGACCTATGCCATTTGTATGCTCGTGACATGTACCTTTAGGATAGCATCTGCTCATAGTCATGGGGAGATAGCATGTCTGTTAGATCATTTGAAGCAAATTGCATCACACCTCCTGGTTGCATGTGCTGTAATTCTGCTGGAGCATAGAAAATGTTAGAGCAGAACCAAGTTTCTAGTCCCTCATGCCTTCAAAAATACTTTTGGAAATGGGTGGGTGATGCTTGTATACTTTTTAGCCCTGAGTATAGATGTCACAGCTATTCTCATCAAATGCATTTTCTAAAAAATGAGGTAGCCTCATTTCATGCTCAGCTTTCTTTTTGAAAAGATATCTCTCTTTCTTTGAAAAAGGAATCTAAGACCAGATTTAGTCCAGCTAAATTTAGGTAGGGTTGTTTTGCCTTTTCCAGGAAGGACGGCCAACTCTGTAATAAAAAAATCAGACCAGGATGAAGCCTGAAGACACGTGCCGTAACAGGTCTTCCCTAATAGTATTGCATTTTGGGGTTTCATGTTGTCTGGACTGCCCAAAGAGCCTCGGCTCTTGCATGGTATCGAAATGCAATACATCAGTCCGTAAGCAAGCGATGCCTCGGACTGGTATTTGTGCTGGTGGCCATCCAGTGGAATGGAGGGCAGGTAGAATCATAGAGTTATACAGTGGGAAGGGGCCTGGCAGCCATCGGGTCCACCTTCCTGCTCAGTGCAGGACTCAAGCCTCCCATCCAGGTTCTGACCAGGCCTGACTCTGCTTAGCTTCCAGGATGAGGCAGGATCAGGCACTTCAGGCGCTACGCTGAGACGCAGTGCTGTGCAGAATTGCATTAATGGAACTTGCTGCCATGAGAGGTCCAGGGGCATTAGAGACACAGAAGATAAGGCTATCAAGAACTATTGATCAAGATGGCTACTTGCACTGGCCAGGTTCAAGGCAAGCTCTTCCTGGAGGCCTCTGGCTTGCCACTGTCGGAAGCAGGGTATTGGGCGACCTGATGGACCTGTGAGCTAATCCACCAGGGCTTGTCCTGTGATGTGGAGCCTGCCTGGGAAACCTACCCCACCCGTCCCTGGTCTGGTGCTGCCCAGATATTATGGGCTCTCCCCAGCCTGTTTGAAATTGTAGCGCCAAACTTCTGGAGGGGCACCGGTGGGGGATGGTTCCTGGGCATGCACAAACTCTATGCCTGCCTCAACCTCTATGCTGTGTGAAAGGCAGAGATAAACACACGTTAGTAGAAATAATAATGTTTACTATTCTGGAATTGAGTCATCTTCCAGGGGTGAAGAGGGTGAATTGTAAGCTCACCGGAATAGCTTTCGCATGCTTGCTCCTTCTGTTTTGTGGAAACTTCTCGGAAAGCAATTTCAGCAACCTCTGCTGGTTGGGCTCGTTTCATTGTTTGGCTGGCTGGCATCAACACCGTCTTTCCCCCTTCTGTGGTGTTGCCCCCACTTACCCCCCGGAAAGGAGCTTGAGTTTGGAATAATGGTGGGAGCGGGTCTGTATCCACCGAAGATGCTTGTGTAGGCAGTTCATTCTGGCCTCCAGCCAGAGAAAGTTTAATTGGATCAAGGGATGTTTACGCCTTCTTGGGAAAACCAACTTTCCTGGAAGACTATTAAAGGCTCGTGGAGCAAGGTGGACATTCCTCTGGGGTTAGTCCTCAGACGTGTCACATTTATCAAGGCGAGGAGCATGACTTTCTTTCCGTTTAGCACACCCTTGAGTCTCCCACACAGCGGTGCGCCGTTGCCAAACACTTCCAAGGCCAGGATGCATATTTGGCACAGCTCTGGTACCCTGAGTCCTGGCTTCTCCACAGCATTCCTGGTCCAGCCCGGATGGAGAAACGACCGGGAATTGAAGACGAGACTTTGTGTTCGACATGGCTGCTCACTTCCAAGCAGGCCGGAGCCAAAGTGAACATTCGCACCTGGTCAAAATGCGCCAAATGACGAATTGCCCTTGTCAAAGGCTCACCAGGGCATCTTGGGATTCAAAATCTGAATCCTGATTATACTGTATGTATTATTTTTCTTTGACTTATAGTCCACATGTCCTCCACATGTTCCTGCAGCTAACAACTTCTATAAATCACACCTGGAAATGACAAGTGTTTGCTAAAAAAGAGTAAAATATTTTCAATATGACAACTCTGAAATTTGAAATTCAAACACTCTGGACTTGTTGGCACATCTCTCTGTTATCTTGGCATATATATTGGGCATACATATATATGAAATGTCAACAGTCAAATACTAATGTATTTTAAGATGGCAGAAATTTGGCAAAAATTGGAGTCTGCAGAAAATAGCACAGGAATGTCCCAGAAGATTAACTTTGCTGTTCTTTGCATGAAAAGCAAAAAGGGATCTCGGGTACCGTCCCACACATGGGCCTGGCACTAACAGCATACTGGGGGAGTGCTAGGCCTTGTGCTGCGCGTGCCCAGGATCGGGCCATTGGTTTGGCATGCACTTTCATGGACTGGAGCTTGTGTTAGCAGATGCATGAATTGTTACCCTGAGTTGACTAGTATAAGTGCATGAGTCTAGAGCCAAAAGCCTGCAGGCAGTGGCTACCTGGCGGCACAGGATCCGGCCGCAGCAAGAGGGCCGTTGCTTCCTCTCTTCCGGATGTCTTCAGCAGCGGGAATGGGTGGCACGTGCCCTTGGTGAGATCAGAAAGTGCCTGAGACGGAAGCTGGGTCCCCGCCAGAGAATAGGCCGGCTTGGGGTCCTTGGATGCTCGTTTCCTTGGGTTTTCTGCGGGCCCCTGAAGCATCAGCACCAGAGGCAGTGCAACTCTGCTTGGAGGAGGCTTGGCTGCCGCACTGACAAGGCACTTGCAGGGTGCTCCCTTCCCCGTTTCTCCCGCGCTGCGGGAACCCCGCAGCGCATGCAGGAGTGGCGGCTTCCGCAGTGCAGCCGCATCGCCCAGGCAAATGGAGGAGAATCCCACACCCTCTCTTAGCTTCCGGGGTGCTCCGTGCAGATGCCTGGTGGCAGCAGGGTGCCCTTTTGCTGTCATGGCATGGCAGGTGCTCCCCCGGGCCAACTCCTGGAGCCAGTCTGGAGGTTTGGCCCGGGAGTCGCCACGGAGCGGCTCAGGAGGCAGGGCACAGGCAGGGTTGCGGAAGGGGCGGGGATCTGCTAGGCGGGGGGCGATGGCAGCATCGCTTGGGGTCCACAAAGAGCCAGCAGAATTCATAAGTGGCCTGACTGGGGGCAGCACAGGCCTTCGAAGTCTGCGGCCCTGTGCAGGTGGGCGTGCAGAGCATGGTGTCACACAGCTCCTGAGAACATCCAGAGGCCCCGAGCAAGGGCGTGGCACTCTTTGCCCTGTGTTTCTTAGGGTGGAGGTGGGCTGCCAGTGCGGATTTTCTGACTCTGGCACCAGGCTGTCTCAATCCGCTCCCAGAAAAGAGTAGGGGCAATGAACACGTGAGGTGCAGCATCTGGAGGAGGAACTTGGAAGGGTGCAGCTTTGCGCAGAGTGGCACGTTCAGGAGCCCAGGCGAAAGCCGCTAGCAAGGGGCGGAGGTGCCGCCGGCCGCAACGCATCTGGCGGGTGAGGGGCGCACGCTGCTTCCTGGCTGCTGGCTCGGGGATCCCGGCTCCGTGCGGCCTTTTGGCATCTCCTTGGCAGGCAAATGTTGGGAAAGCGAAGAAAAGCCCGGCCGGACGCCTGCTGAGCCCCAGCTCGTCTTTTCCCGTGCATTGCCGGGCAGCCGCGCAACACAACCCACGGCCAGACCGTCCTTCTGATGAGTTATTTAGGCATTTGCTGAAGGTCCCAGGAAACCAAATTCTGTGCAGGGCAGACTAAACACTGGGAGGGGCTGTAGGTGCTGAGAGTCTTGGCAGCGGTGGAAACGTTTCTTAAAGCAAGGCTCTGGGAAGGACTGCGTTGTCCCGCAAGCTGCCTGCCCTAGTTAGTAGGTGGCCTTCAGGCAGGCAGCTGCCGTGCAGTGTGGTCCCAACACGGAGGGCTGACTCCATCGCTGGCCCATGCAGCTCTTGCATGCAGCCGTGCTTAAGGTCTGCACAGGCATTTAGTGCTGCATGAACATCTGCGCTGGGAGACGTGTGTGTGGATAGGGTTCTCTCCAAGCACACTGTTCGACGCTCCCCGCACCCCAGCAAAATATGAATTTGTAAACAGGTTTGGATCACTTTTGGAGCAA